CCCTTAAATCCAGCTCAGAGTCGTGGAACTTTGGCTGCATGGTTTGGGCTGGTCCATCATACTTACTTGTGTAATATACCACCCTTTTCTGTAGTTCTGGGTGTAGAGCATACCTATTCTGGATGTAGTGCAGTTTTCCCTGCTTGGGTACCACTTGTCATGGTACACCTTTGTTCTATGCAGATGCTTTCTGTATGGACTATGCCCTCACTGTCCCTCTGCCTTCTCAATGTGGGATTCTAGCTATAAGTGTCAGTGGAGGTACGTATGTTTTGGAAGTTATCATTTTCCTAATCTGAAAATGTATTTCCAGACATACTTACCTCCACTGACACTCTCCCTCCTCACAAAGAGCCAGTGTTAGTGATCAGGATGGGGTAAGTCTCAGAAAAGTGATTATATTGTCGACATACAGTGCTTTTATACAGTTCCTACATAGAGGGCGTGTGAGAGCCAGTGTAAAGTTTTGCAAATTAGATATTGCCGAGGGCAGTCAAATGGGGCATAAAGACTTGAGTAAGCGAACACGATGCTTAGATTGCAAAGATGAAGATCGAGAAATAGCTATAAGTGTCAGCAGAGGTAAGTATGTTTGGAAATACATTTTCAGATTCGGAAAATGATAACTTTCATTCTCAGTAAAAATGAATTATATGTGATGTAAAGATTAGCCAAAAACAGAAATAAATATATTAAATATAAATAAATACATTCAGTGAATGGAAATTTTGTATACAGTATTAATATAACTGTTACTATTATAAACAGTGTAGTTTTGTTGGTTACTTTGTAAACTGTTATTTTAATTACAAATGTATAATTTTCTATATGCATTGCATTTGACTGCAAGGTTACTTTTTATGTTTGTATTAATTTTAGTGATGTTAATAGCATTATTATTTTGAAGAAGGTTAGTTGTATTATTGTAATGCATATATTTTTTAATTAATTTTGTAATCACATGCAGGAAATTTAAGTGATGGATGCTATAATAGATAGTGTTAAGAAATAACTTTTCTGTAAGAGTAAATACTAGTTTAATTGAGAATGATCAAGAATTTGTAAAATTATAAGTTGTTAGACTTTACAAGCAGGTTTGACTAGAACAGTGGTTTTCAAACTTTACCAAGCCACGGAACTCTGTTATTTCATTCATTCCTTCTATTACAGAACACCAACCCTAAAGCTTTGTTAGAAGCTGTTTCTTCTTCTTCTGTTGTCATATACACATATACATAGGCAAATTTATGTATATATATATATGAATGTTTCTTATTTTGTTTGCACGGGCTCGGTCCATGGGACTAACCTCGTAACCATTTTGTGCTTGTTATAGT